CCGTCCCCCCCCCCCCCCCCCCCCCCCCCCCCCCCCTCTTCAAAGAAATTCTCTGGATACTTTAAATGGTCTACAAAATTATCACTGTTCTTTGAATAAGTAACATATTAATTGTAGTTTGCAGCAGCAGTTTTACAGTAAAGGGAGGTTCTTGTGAAATCTATTCTGGGAAGATGAGGGAAGGCAAGGGAAAAAAAGAAAGAAGCAGGAATGTTATGTGGTTCTGCATCATTAATACTGGCAATGGGTTCTTTCACCTCCTGCCCTCCCAACCTCTTGTTTTCTGACCCAGTTTTGTGTGTTTAGATGTAATCATTTGGCTGATGGCTGCTCATATACAGAATGCTTTAGGAGGCAAATCATTCTGACAAGTATATTAAGAAAATAAACTTTAAAAGTACTTACCAAATGTAAATAGAACAATCAAACTTCAACAGAAGCTGGGCTTTATTTAAGGCACCACTTTCTGTACCAGTTAAATCTTCCCCTCTAAACTCTTAATATGGCAGCCACAGGGGATATCATGTTAGATTGTCAGTGCATTGGGATGAAACACTGAGCAGCTAGTTAGTAACTGTGTCTGCATGATAACGTTGGCGTTTAGTTGAATCTAATGACTTTGAGGCATTTGTAATTCAATCATTGGGATAGTAACAGATGAGCCAAATTAAGAACAGAATGTTTTTATTTACTTTGTAATTTTAAGCAGTTTTTTCAATGCTTGTTAAAATTTTAATTGTTGGCATTCCTATTTTGGCAGACTTTATACTTTAGAAGGAAAACTGGTTGAAAGTGGGACAGAGTTGGAGAATGGACAGTTTTATGTGGCTGTTGGCAGAGATAAGTTTAAGAAATTGCCTTACAGTGAATTACTTTTTGACAAGTCAACCATGAGAAGGTCTTACGGGTAAGTTTTCATCCTCAGTTACTTCTCATATGTTAGTTATCACTTGAAATAGCATTGAGTCTTTTGCTGACCACTGGTATATTTTATATAATCTTGTTTATCAGTTAGACTGCAAAGCGTATACGATATACATTGACCTATGTTTTTTTTTTTGCCATGATTGGAGATTGAGTCTATTGCACAATAATTTTTGGAAATCTATGGAAAACTAAATAGTATATTTTTTACTATATTTTTATTTTTTTCTATTCATTTATGGTTTTTTTAAAGTATATATTTTATTGATCTTTTACAGAGAGGAAGGGAGAGGGATAGAGAGTTAGAAACATCGATGAGTGAGAAACATCGATCAGCTGCCTCCTGCACATGCCCAACTGGGGATATGCCCGCAGCCAAGGTACATGCCCCTGACCAGAACCTGGGACCCTTCAGTCCGCAGGCCGACGCTCTATCCACTGAGCCAAACTGGTCAGGTATTTATGGTTTTATAACAAATATAAAGATTTACTCTTGTGAAGAAGATACAGGGCAATTAGCTTCTTTTAAAAAATATAAATTTTCATTGATTTCAGAGAAGAAGGGAGAGGAAAAGAGAGATAGAAACATCAATAATGAGAGAGAATCACTGATCGGCTGCCTCCTGCATGCTCCACATTGGGGATTGAGCAGGAGCATGTATATACCCAGGCATGTACCCTGACCAGGAATCAAACCTTGACCTCCTGGTTCATAGGTAGATGCTCAACTACTGAGCCACAATGGCAGGCCAATTAGCTTCTTTAAAGCACATATTTTTAGAAATTTTAAGAATGTCTTAACTGTTTACCTGGATCAAGTAATTTTTCAGCTGGTGCATTCAAAACATCTAAAGGTGTTTAAAAAAACCCATAATATTTTATACACCGTTTAATAATAACTGTAAAATATAAAAACAATAAAATTCCACTTGTGCAAAATAAATAGATTAACTGCTTTTGTAGTTAATATATGCAAAATTTTATAGATAACAATTTTAATTATGCATGATACGCTGTGGACCATTTTTCTCTATGCAATGTCATGTATTAATGAAAGATGCCTTATTTCAGCGAAGTAGCTGGACCTCATAGGCATGCCTGAGGAGCCCCTGACTCCTGGCCCATGCTGGGACCCTCCCTTCAGCTTGCTCACGGTGCCCAGGAATCTACCTCTACTGTAATTTACAGATATTCTGTGACCACTTTGCTGTTGGAAACAGAACTTTTTGGTGGTTCTCTGCTAGGGTGGGTGATACTTGTAGAAACAGAGCAGAATGTCACCAATATGTTGTCCATTAATTCACAGTTTGTGAAGCCTGATGGGGAGCTCAGTTGAGGGTCTGTAGATAAGTATTAGATGGAACCAAATTTCAGGGATGTTGTTTAATGTATGCAAGAGCACATGGTTTCCCAGCACTTTAGAATTACTCACCAGCAGACTTATTGCTAACCATCCTTACCCATCCATGAAATCAAATCCTTCCACAGCCTGCCAAGCAACACTGGATTAGTCTGTTAGCGTCAGTGTGTAATTGATGGCAGTGGGAAAACTCTAACTCATGGTGACCTTTCTCAGGCAAATTAGTAAGATGACATTTATCTCTGTATCCTCTTATTTACAGAGTTTCAGTTGAGTTCCAGAATAGGTCTTTTCCTAATAATATAGACATCCACGAAACAACATTCCTATAGTTGAAGGGAGTTTTTATTTTTTGACAAGAGAGACTGGTTTAGAAAGCCCCTGAATATAAATGTCCGTGTGCTACCATTCTGAGCTCCCATCAGAGGCAGACAGCATAGGAGTTTAAAGAGAGAGAGAGAGATAAATTTATTGTTTTAAACTCAATTTGGCAAAATCATTACTCAGCTTGAGAAATGATCTTTTGAAATTCATATGGAAAATTCAGGGAATTAAATAAAAATGCTGTGAAAGAATATAATGTGGTACTAAAGGTTTGTGGTAAGTATCAATTACAATAGTATGCAGAAAAATAGTAAACATCTTTTGGAATGGAATTTTGAAATTTTATGGTGGTCCTTGTGAAATTGGGAAAGTATGTAGTACTTTTGTGAAACACTGATATCAGTAAAAGTAAACAGTTGACTTCCAGGTTGGGATGACAAATTGGGATGACAATTGTCTTGCATTGTATATTATTTGTAAATAACACTCATATTTCCAAATTGCAATTTGTTTTCGCAGTCAGAAAGCTTCTTCACTGCCTCCTATTGTGGGATCCAGAAAGTGTAAAGGGAGTGTAAGTATCAGATGGTTTACTCATTAATGTTCTATATTTTTGTTTAATACATTGAGACTGTCCTTTGCGTTTCAATTAAATTTGAAGAAATAAAAGCAAGCTGGTATATGAGCAATTGTGTGAAACAACACTAGGACATTAATGTTACAATTAAGGTCTTACATGAGAGCTAACATTTTTAGAATATATATTTTGAAATAGATATCTTTTTCCTTGCTATAGACCTGATACAATTTATATCACAGTTGAAATCCAGGCAATAATACATAAAACTAGAAGAAATGCTGGGGTAGGTTACATTAGTGGTCCACCCAGTCCTATTTCCTATCTCTGACAAAGACTAAAAAAGAAGTTTTTGTAAGAAAATGGTGATCCTCATATATAGTTCTTTAAAAGATTGAGAATCATTTCAAATATTTATTCCCTATCAGAATCTTTTCCATTCATCATTCATTCATTCGTTAATTCAGCAAAGTTTATTAAATGCCTATTATGTGGGAACTGCGACACGCAGTAGTAGGTAATTCCTTAACTTCTTTGTATTTTTCGTCTGTAGTTCTCATGGAGATGAGTTTTATGTCATGCCACACTGTTGCTTTGACAGAGTTCTTCTAGCTAAGGCTTCTCTTTCCACCCTTTTGATTGAATTTCCAGACTGGTAGTGGTCAGGACTGATTTGCTATTTCCCCTCTCTGAATTAAGGAAGCAAAATTCTTATTATGGTGTTTTGTGAAATAAATGGCTGTTTGGCAATGATACTGCTTTCTAGTGATGATTTAGATGTCTCTCCATCCTTTTGGTTATATCATGTGAAATTCTTGAAAAAAAGAAAAATAATTTTGCGTGAAGAAGTAGTGCTGAACTCAGCATAACAAACAGCAGACCTTTATTAGCCACTCATTCACTGGGACTCATACTGTTACAGGAAAACCGGACAAGAACCAAACAGCGCTCTGAGAGTTTGGAGTTACACTTTATTCACCGCGGCGGGCTTAGGGAAATGAATCCAAATTCTAAGCAAAGCTACAAGCAGAACTTCCCTTTTTATAGAAGAGCCAGCCCTTGGTGTGCTTGCTGGCGGTGGCCTTGAAAACTATACAGTTCTATCCAATTAAAAAATGCACCTGGCATGGCATTGGGTGTATCTAGTCTCTGGCCTACAAGGTCAGACAGCTAAGTTTATCTCCCCCATTATTCAAGCAGGCTAGAAAGCAAAGTTACTTTTTCAGAATAAGAGGCCGTCCAAAGAATAGCAGAGAATCCCAAACAGTAGTTTTACAGAATAGGGGTTTTCCTTCACAATACAGCTTATGACAAAGCACTTGCCCCTCAAGAAATGTACAATCTCATTGAAATAGAGAAGATAGCTTGAAAAGGTAACCAAGCTAAACACCAAATTTGTGATGGGACTGGTAAACATGAAAGAGACAGAAGGCATCAATGTGCATTGGTCAAAGTACATGGAGAAAATTGAGTTAGAGTTATACCTTTGAGGACTCTTTAAGATTAGGGCAAAGTCAATGAGGGGGGGAGGACTTCAGATGGAAGGAACAGTGTGAGGAAAGGAGAAGCAATAATACTGGCTGATATTTAGTGAACACTTGAGGGCTCAACACTATGACTGTCTTTACAGGTGTGACTTACTTAATCTTCACCCCATGAGGCAGGTACTATTATTACTGCATTTAAAAATGAGAAAAGGAAGCAGACCATAGGAGTACCACTTCTAAAGGCTTCTGTTGAGCAACTGGCAGGGGAGGGATTGCGACCAGATGGCCTTCCTGGAGGAATCTTGTGTTTCTGACCCCAGGGAACAATGAGTTGCTCAGGCTGACTGGAACAGAAGGTCTTTCTTCTGTGGTGTGGAGGCTGATGTGCCCGAAATGGTAGGTGATGGCAGTGTTAGATGACTTGGAATGTCAGAATGAGGAGTCTAATCTTTAAGTAGAGGGCAGTCATGAAGCTTCTGAGAGGTGAACATGTTAATCCAAATCAATTCTAGGAAGGTCAGATCTTTTATGTGAAGAAAGACTTAACATGATGAGAGGCCATAGATGAGACGTCAGTTATGCTACAATTACAAGCAATGGCCTTGGTATCTATACTAATAAAAGAGTAATATGCTAATTAGACTGGGAGACCTTCCGGACATCCTTCTGGACAAAGCTGGGGGCTTGGCTAGCCTGCAAGCTGACCCCAAACAGCCCTCAGACCCTCACCCAGGCTGGCCATGCCCTCCAGTGGGGACCCCCACCCCAAGGGGGGTGTGGGCAGCCTGCAAATGGCCATCAGCCCCTTGCCCAGGCCCACCCTGCCCCCAGTGGGGACCCTCACCCCAATGGGGGTGTGGCTGGCCTGCAAACGGCCCTCAGCCCTCAGCCCCTTACCCAGGCCAGCCCCACCCCCCAACCTCATCCCGAAGGGGGCGTGGTCAGCCTGCAAATGGCCCTCAGCCCCTCTCCCAGGCCAGCCATGTCCCCCAGCAGGGACCCTTACCCTGATGGGGGCATGGCCAGCCTGAAAATGGCCCTCAGCCCCTTGCCCAGGCCGGTCATGACAGCCAATGGGGACCCTCACCCCGATGGGGGCGTGGCCGGCCTTCAAACCACCCCAGGCCCCTTGCCCAGGCCGGCCCTGCCCCCCAAGGGGACCCCCACCCTGATCCGGGACCCCTTTCAGGGAAGACCAGCCAGCCCCTACCCATGCACCAGGACTCTATTCTATAGTAATAAAAGTGCAATATGCTAATTAGACCAGGAGACCTTCTGGGAGACCTTCCAGATGTCCTTACAGACAAAGCCATGGTGGCGGGGCCGAGGCAGAGATGGTTAGGGGCGATCAAGCCAGCAGGGGAGGGCTGTTGGGGGCGAGTAGGCTGGTGGGGGAGGGCAGTTGGGGGTAATCAGTCCAGCAGGGGCGGGCAGTTAGGGGTGATCAGGCTGCAAGGGGGGCAGTTGGGGTTGATCAGGCTGGCAGCAGAGTGGTTAGGGGTCATCAGGTAGGCAGGCAGGTGAGCGGTTAGGAGCCAGCGGTCCCGGATTGCGAGAGGGATGTATGACTGCTGGGTTAGGCCTGATTCCTGTGAGACCCTCTGTGGGATCGGGCCTAAACTGGCAGTCAGACATCTCCCGAGGGGTCCCAGATTGGAGAGGGTGCAGGCTGGGCTGAGGGACACCCCCATGCATGAATTTTGTGCACCGGGCCACTAGTCCTATATAATAAAAGCCTAATATGCAAATTGTCCCCTCAACTGGTAGTTCAGCCAGGGGACAGGGCCAGCCGGCCAACTGCCAGTGGCCCCTGACCCCGCTGTCCCTGCCCCAGCCAGCTGCAGTGGCAGGCAGCCAGGGAAGGGAGGCCTTGGCCGGCAGCCGGCAGCCAGCAACCACTAGGGACCCTACCTGTGCATGAATTTTGTGCACTGGGCCTGTAGTGAAGTGATAAGAGTCTAGACTGGGTAGGTGGTAGAAGTAGCAGGAGGTGATTACTGCTCAGGAAAAATGAAAGATTTGCTTGGTGATTGATGGGGTTATTGGAGAGGTTGGAGCCAAAGATAACTGCAAGTTTTTGAGCTTGGATGCCTGAGAAAATGGTAATACAATGGCCAAGGAAGGCAGTCAGGAAAAATAATGACCTGCTTAAGTTGGAAGTGTGATCATGAAATCTAGTAGATATGTTCAGCAAGCAATTATAAATGATGGAGTCTGAGACCTGATGTGGTCATCAGATGTAGATTTGCAAGTTCATCCACATTATGGTCGTAGCTGAAGAGCAGACACCTGTCATTGTAGTGTTCTTTCCTAGCACCCAGCACAGCCTGGCAAGGAGCAGGCCTCACCATGCTGTTCAGTGAGAGGATGGGTGAGTGGCACCTGCAGAGAAAGTGCAGTGAGAACCACAGAGGACCCAGGTTTGAGACAACTAATAAGGGTATAGAGAGAAAGAAGATGGAGAATATTCTAATAGTTGAAAAATACGTTAGCCACTATAAAGCTAAATAAACCCATGAATTTAGGGTTTGGAAATTTTGTCCTCTTGTTCTTCTTCAGGACTTTGGGGTGGGATCACTTCTGTGTGCCAGGCAAATATGAGCTCATTCATTCTCCCATTATAACTGGAAGAGTGATCACTAAACAGAGACTCAGTGTAGTTGAATAAGTGACCCTAGGTCACAGGGAAAGTTGATGTCAGAACCAAGATCATGGCTCAACTCTTTGCATTCACAATAAAAATGAACTTTGGAATTACTAGTATGTGCTTACTATTCTATAATTTGGAATGTCTAAAATATTTATTAAAAATGCATTTTCTGCTTTAAAATTCATGTGCAGGAGGATTCACATGCAATTTAGAATCTGTGCTATGAATACTGTGTCATCTAATAATGATTGATTAGGTTTTCCATGTATTTGGTGTGGAACTAAGCCCCAGGGAGACAGTGATAAGCAAAGAGACATGGTGCTTTCTCTTAGTTTGTGGACTAATTGGGGAGTCAAAGGTTAAATGATTTCACAAATACACAGATAATAACATGATGAAAACGAAAGAACAGTGCTGATGAATATGAGAGGCAATCAAAAGAGAACTACCTTATATAGGTGTGTCAGGAAAGGCCTTTTTGAGTAAGTGATCTGTAATGACAGACTATTTCCATCTCATAGAAAGAAAAGACTCAGAATTATATTTTCATGCTCTGACTTAGAAAAATAACATGATAGCAGAGTTTGTTCCTCTTTCCACAATACTCCCAAGGCAGGCTGCACATTTGTCCATCCACTCATCTGCTCATTCAGTTATCCACTCAACACATTTATTGAGCACTTACTAAGTGCCAGGAACTACTCTAGGTACCAGGCATATAATGGTGAACAGATAGGCAGGTTTCAGACCTGATGGAACTTACATTATCAGATGGTATAGGTGAAATGTGTAAAATAAAACGTGGCAGGGCACCTACAGATGAAAGTTCCCTCAGACAGAGAGTTTAATGATAGAGCTTG